GGTGAGATTTGAACCGCTGACCTGCTGATCTAGCAGTAGCCTGCAGTGCTGCATTTAACACACTGCGCCACCTTGGCTCAGGATCTGTTCCACACCATCGCTCCCCCCCAATGAGGGGCATTAAACAAACTCTTTTCCCCCCAAGACCAAAATATTTAAAATTTCCTGCCTGGCCAACCTTGAACGGGGGAGATAGCCGGCTGAAAACAACAGAGAAATGTGTGGCTTTCTCACTGCCAGAGCAAGATAAGGCTTGAGGCGCCGGGAACTAATCAAGGAGGGAAGAGAGGAGAGAAAAGGGGAAAAAAAGAGGGAAGAGGAAAGAACAAAAAAGGGAGGAGGGAAGAGAAAGGGAGAAAAAAGAGGCAGTGGGGAAGTGAAGACAGAAGAAGAAGAAGAGGAGAGAGAAAGAAAGGAGGGACTCTTTGTTGAAAAGCTTCCGATAAGTTTCCCCGCTTGGATAGCGGCCAAACAGTCTTGGTTCATCTTCCCCGTTGATTGCAATTAATATTTACTGAGAAACCTCTTTTCTGTTGGGGAAAGGTTCTGCTTTCAACGTCCAACAGGGAGCCAGCACAAAAGCCTCTTTTAATAATTAAAAGCCAACTAAACCCATCCCTTCTCCTAGCCGCCCCCTCCTTGGACCACAAACAGATCCAGCCTTATTTAAGCTGTGGGGAGAGGAGACCCAGGAAACAAAGCATCCCCCCCCCGCACCTGAATTATGAATGGGGTGAGCTTCTTCTTGTTGATGGCTCGTTCATCAATGGTGTCGGGAACGGAGAGGTTGATCATTTTACTGCAGGGAAGCAAGAAGGGAAACGGACACCCACCCAAGGCGTTAAAAAGAGAAGACGGAGAACGGCCTCCCTCTTCGCGGAGGGTCTTCAGCTGCCCACCTCCCCGCCCCCCATGGGCCTCGCCCCTGAGCAGGAGACTCACCACAAGACGATGCCATCCCCCATGGCTTTGAAGAGGTCATCTGTGTTTGGGTTCATGGGAATGACATGCTTACAATCCTGGTCGTTTTCCAAAGCTTTGTTGATCCAGTTCACAAAGGCGTATTTCTCCTCATCTGAAGGAGAGAGGAAGTTCTGAGGTTCACACTCAAGTCACACCGGTGGGGAAAACCTTCCAAGGCTGCAGCTCAAAGCCCCACACTGGCACTTGGGTGAGGGTGGGGAGTAGGGTGGAATGGGGTACAACGGTTTGCCAAGGCAAGAGAATAGCTATGAGACTCAACGCCAGTTCTCCCCTTGAAGTCGGAAGGATGTGGTTTGCATTGCAATGCCATGTCCTCCACCTTGTCCCAGAGCCGAGGTGGCGCAGTGGTTAGAGTGCAGTACTGCAGGCTACTTCATCTGAATGCTAGCTGCAGTTCAGCAGTTCAAATCTCACCAGCTCAGAGTTGTCTCATCCTTCTGAGGTGGGTAAAATGAGGACCCAGATTGTTGGGGGAAAGAGGCTGACACTATAAACCACTTAGAGAGGGCCGTAGAGCACTGTGAAGCAGTATATAAGTCTAAGTGCTATTGCTATTGCTAACTCTGCTCACTGCCAGGAGTTCGATCCTGATGGGACTCAAGGTTAACTCAGCCTTCCATCCTTCTGAGGTGGGTAAAATGAGGACCCAGATTGTTGGGGGAAAGAGGCTGACTCTGTAAACCACTTAGAGAGGGCCGTAAAGCACTGTGAAGCAGTATATAAGTCTTGCTGCTATTGCTATTGCTAACTCTGCCCACTGTCTGGAGTTCGATCCTGACCAGCTCAAGGTTGACTCAGCCTTCCATCCTTCTGAGGTGGGTAAAATGAGGACCCAGATTGTTGGGGGAAAGAGGCTGACTCTATAAACCACTTAGAGAGGGCTGTAGAGCACTGTGAAGCAGTATATAAGTCTAAGTGCTATTGCTAACTCTGCCCACTGTCAGGAGTTCGATCCTGACCAGCTCAAGGTTGACTCAGCCTTCCATCCTTCCAAGGTGGGTAAAATGAGGACCCAGATTGTCGGAGGGGCCATAGGCTGACTCTGTAAACCGCTTAGAGAGGGCTATAAAAGCACTATGAAGCAGTATAAGTGCTATTGCTATT